CGTACGCTACAAGTATGTCGTATTTATATTTATTAACTAATAACTCGTACGTTACAAGTATGTCGTATTTGTATTTATTAACTAATATCTGGTACGTTACAAGTATGTCGTATTTATATTTATTAACTAATAAATCGTACGTTACAAGTATGTCGTATTTGTATTTATATTTATTAACTAATAACTCGTACGTTACAAGTTTGTCGTAATTATATTTAGTAACTAATAACTCGTACGTTGCAAATATGTCATATTTATATTTAGTAACTTATAACTGGTACGTTGCAAGTATCTCGTATTTGTATTTATTAACTAATAACTCGTACGTTGATGATGTGCGATTTGGTGTAGTAGTCCGAAATTCCGTCTGAACTCGTGTGTTTGACTTCAGATTACTATAGAGTTTGAGGTTTGACATATGTTATCAAAACGTTCATGCCCGGACAGCAGCATTTTATTTTGTTGTAAAAGTTAAAATTGATTGTTGTTTTATTTTGTTAAAAATACATACTAGTAAATGTTGTAGTATAGTTTCGTGTTTTTGTTAAGTAACCCCCTAAATAGGGACATATTCTATAGTAATCGTGACGAAAAAGCCAACCGAGCCTAATTCAGGATTTGGGCATCCAATAGTCGTGATCGTAAATATTGTATGCTTTATTATTCACAGGGCCAATAGCAAATGTGTCTGTGAAGAAGATTGGATTCCGGGCAACAGTTATGACAGGAGCATTGATATCATCTATTGGTTTCTTTAGTAGTTCATTTGCCCCCAGTATAAGTGTTCTATACTTAACGTGTGGAGTTTGTGTTGGTAAGATCATTTCAAACATAATTCATTTGGAAAACATAATAAACTCTTATCACACAAACAAAAGTATATTACAATACGTGATCAAAACGGTAGTAAGGTATATGTACCTCAACATACACTGACATAAACTTAAAATGATTTTATTATGTTAATGAACTTGAATTAATGTGATTCATTAGAAGTATTCAATCAATTTGATTAAGTAGATGTGTTCCAATCAATTGATTTGATTTGCAGACGTATCCCAATGAATCATTGTAATTCAGGAGACGTATTCCAAACAATTGATTTGATTTGTAGACGTATCCGAAGGAATTACT